TCTATTCTTCTCTTTTGCACAATGCTAAACACATACACAAGATTTGATATTTTCTGCTGTTTAACTCTTTGTAGGTATGGATGTAGAGTTGCCAATATGATTTTTTAGGGCAAGACATGAACCTAAAGTCGTGAAAATCAACAATATGGCGCTGTAGCTTCCATCTGGCCTCCTTCTTTTGTTCCTCACGCTCGGTCTGCAGGAGACGATATTGAATCTAGTGCATCAGATGCAACGTTGTCGTATACTATATTCTCTTTTGAGATTTTGATTATGTGTTTTAGAAGATTTTTCTTGTATTGTTTTACTTTTGGTATTTTGAGGAACCTGACATGGTAAGGAATAAGGAGAAAACAATTGTTTCATCTTTGTTGTATTAATCGAATCAGCAATGATCTTTAAACCAAACAAATCAGCCCGATACACTTACCTTGCAATACCCCGGTCTAACACGTTGCTTTCCAGATCGGGCTGATCTCCCTGTTTTTTCATGTTTCATTGTGAATGTTGGCTCGATCCGACCATCATCTAGGCTGAGCCAGACACGATTTTGTTCCATGTCTACTCAAATATTTACGAACTACGATGTCGTTTTTCAATATCTTTGGTTTTGTTCCAGTAGAAAAATCAACTCATGAATGTAAAACTTTCATTATTTTAAAAGCATTAAAATGAAGAAGTATTAAAGAAACGAATTACTTGTCGTAAAAAATGCAAAAAAATGTCACTAAGTGACTTTGAACCCGTCATCAAAGGGACTAAGTATCACACATTGGAACCAATTACACTAAACATCATTCATTGTTCATTGTTCAACTAAATTGATATTAATAACAATAAAACGTAATCTTTAAAACATATTTTGTAAATTGTTGATTAAGGAAATTGAATATTTTAGATCCTAAATTTAGAGAATTTAATAATTAAATTCGTAGATAACACAATCTACACTAGTCGGTAGATGATAGCAAATGTGGTAGAATATATTGAGAAGGGTAAAATATGTATTCTGGATTTAGTAGATGTTAGTGCAAAGCGTGGAATAAACACTCAACGACGATGTAGAACATAGAGCAAGCAGTAAAACACAAATTCTACGTTTGGTAGATATAAGTCTACTAGGCAGAACCAATAATCTATCAACTGTAGACGTAGAATGTGGATTCTGGAACCTGTAGAAGCAAACTTTACAATTATTTTTCACCATTATTTTTAACTAATAAAAATATTTTAATATATACAATTGACTATTCTTTAGGTGTTTGTAATTATAAGATTTTTAAAAAAATTTAAAACCCTTTATTTCTAATTATTTTTATTAGGTTAAGAGTAGTTTAGGTAACAAATGGTCAAAAAAGAGAAAAAGTCATTGGGACAAAATTCATTTTAATGTGGGGTAATTTTACAAATTTTCCATAATAAAATTGCCAGCACAAAAACGAATTTTTCTAGAACCAAGAACCCAAAAACAGGAAAACAAAACCTAAACGACGGCCCCAAACAAATAAACCAATTAACCATATAAAACATCTCAAATTCACCCAAGACAGAAATTAACTCTCGATGAAATTACTTTCTATACAATTTTTTTTATATTTTTTGCAAATCAGTATATGAAAGTAAAATATATTCATGACATAAATTACCTCTTGTTTACTTTTAATCATGTTTTCATCTCCTAAAAGATACATTTTTTTTTATAAGAATTTCTTAGGATACCACATTTTGAAGTTTTGTTTCTAAAAAAATCACCATTTTTTAAATGTTCCAAAAATATCATCATTTTTCAAATGTTCCAGAAATACCACAAAAAAAAAAAATTCAAGGCTTTATAATTTAAATTTTTGAGTTTTTTGTTAACTATTGTAGAGGGGTATAGTTTTAGGGGGTAGAATTTGGGTTTAAGATTTAGAGTCTAGTTTTGAATGTTGAAAGTTAACTTTAGTTTTGTGGTATCTGTGGAATATTTAAAAATTATGGTATTTGTGAAATATTTGAAAAATAGTTGTATTTTTTTAAACAAAACTTCATTAAGTAGTATTTGTGAAAATTATCCCACTATAGATGATGATTTTACCATTTACGAAAAACAAATTAAATTCTTTATAGCAATTGAAAACACGATGAACAACTTCATAGACAACTCAAGAACATACCTTTACCACAAGATCCATGTAGTATATGTATTC